TCCTCGAGTGACGCAAATAACAGATTCTATGGTTCCCGTGCTCTCTCCTGCTCTTGTTTCCTCCGCCCTCCTCCTTCTTTCTCTTCTTTTTCCTGCGCCCACGCATCCTACTTGGTCTCCCACGGAATCAGGCAGCCAGCTACAGCTTCCCAGTGAGCAATGATCTGAGTTACAGAAAGCCGGACAGATTCGCAGTGCAGGAACAGATAAGCCTGAAATACACACACGCGCGCGCGCACACACAAACACACACACACACACACACACCATGGAGCCTTTTGCAAATGACCAGATTTTGGGGGGGCTCCCCTGTGTACGGGAAGGTGGAGCTGATCAACAAACCCACCAGCCTGCAAGGAGTCCCTGCTGGTGGTGGGAACACCCGGAGGGGAGGATCAGGGCTTGCTTCTGCAGTCTTTCCCTTCTCACCAGCAAGGAGGAAACCCGCCCCCACAAATACTCAGATGGCATGGATATTGGTGAACATACAACTTTCCTTCTGCAGGAGGAGGAAGAAATTCAACAAAGGCTGTAGATGCTGTCTCCAGCCAGGTTATGGGGCCTTTTTGAGGCCAAGTGACTCTCCAGTTTTCCTCCCTCTTAAACACCAACAGGGGCAGTTATTTTGTTTGTTTGTTTGTTTGTTTTCCTTCTTAAAATAACGACCCTGAAAAATGCACTCAATGGATGAGTGCTATTTTTAAACCTAACTGAATGGCACTTGTTTCATGAAGGTGACAGAGCCTCTGTGTATCTTCCATATGTGCACGAATGGGAGGTGTTCAGAAGAAGTGCCATATCTTGGCATGACAAAGGGTTTCTTGATGGAGCCATGGTGGTGGGGAAGAGTTCTTATAGATAGGAAGATCTGCACGAAATTGCACGCACATAAATTCCCCTCCCTAGATGCATGCAGCAACTCAATCCCCTTGACAGGACCTGTGTGCCCCAAGCATGGGGGAAACTAGCAAGTGGGAGGCTATACACAGATACTGGATGCACAAAGCATCTCTTACCTTAACCCTAATTATCAACTTTCTCTGACAGCAGTTTTCCTGGATGCCAATAAACAATTATCCAAAGGTCACCAAGAGGATTTGGGGCACAGGCCTGGAAGAGAAGGATCTTAGGACTTAAGCCATCATCTCCCTCCTCAGACCCTCCTAGCCTTTGTATAGTCTTGGAGGTTTCTGTTTTAAGGTTAAGCCGCCCCCCCCCCCGTATTATGTTTCTGTCTTTGGCTTAAGCTGTACCTGCTAAAGAGAGACAGAGGACGTCTGCTCCATAGGGAGGACACCCTCCAGCAGCCCATCAGCAGCTGTTTATTTTTAGCTCTCTGAATGCATGTATGTATGCATGTGAGAATGTTACTGCAGTCGGGTGGTGTGCAGCCAGGAGAAATATCAATGAGAGACAGGCAGCAGCCTTGGTCCTTGCACTGAAGATGCTTTATCACATGGGGTCATCAGATGTGACCAGGCGGACATGAAATGCTGGCAGCAATTCAATGAAGTCTTCTTGGATTAATGAAAATGTCAGGCTAAGCGTGTATTTAAAGGCACAGAGGTAAGTTTTAGACAAGGTATAAGCAGAGATTCACACATGTGGGCTCATTCACAAAAAGTGTAAGGTTTCTACATGGATGACGTAAGTTATATAGAGGAGATGCAATTGTGAATAGTGTAACTGTGTTTTCTACGCCATATATGCTGGTGTTATGCTACTGTGTTTGATGTTGAGACCATGAAAGATTCATTCAAGATTCTTAAGTTTTCTGAAAACCCTGAGTAATATAGAGGGTGGTCGAAATGTATGAAGGCCATACCCTTCACAACTTTTGGGGGTAGCAGCCAAAAATATAATCTAACTGGGGACCCCTGGTGAAGTCAGTAGCTCTGTTCCTTCCTCCCAGAAGAGGGCGCCTCTCTGTTCAGGTCCTGTTATAGTCAAAGGACTGACTGGTTAGATTGAGTCCACAGGGCTAGGGAAGTGCAGCAATCATTGCAGAATTAGTCCTTTGTATAGCTACCACATTCCTGGGACTTCTCAGCCAGGTCTTATGGTGCATGCCTGGGTTGGAGTGGGTGACCTTGGGGAGCCATCTCATCACTGTTTGCTAGGGGCTCTGGTGCCCAATTCCTGTCTAAGCAATCAAACTAAAGACTTAGGGAGTTAATAGACTGGCATGGAACCTGTCCAAGATGAAAACCACTTTCTGTATTGCCAGCCCATTCCTGGGATCACAAGCATGAAGTGGACTCCGTTCCCCTAATGCTCCCCCAGGGGACCTGCAAGAGCAGGCTGTTTGTCATGTAGCCCTTGACAAGAACTGCTCTCCTCTCTTTCAGGATCAGTGAAGCTAACAAATGTCCTGCCTGGGCCTAGTGTCTCTTCTCCAAACACCAAGGAAAATGCCAATAAGTAAAGAACTGTGTGTGGGACAGGAGAGGAAAAACGCAGCTCTCAGAAAACCTGGGACGGACAAGGAGTTTTGAACATCAACTATATAGCAGACAGTGTGCTAGGCACTTAAACATGACAGTATTTAATCCTTATAGAAATTATATAGATGATCATCGTACCTACCTCAGAGAATCATGGAGTACAAAATCATTCCCAAAACATATTATTTGTTCTATTTTAAAGCCAAGGAAATGGAGGCCAGGCAGTTTAAATGACTTGTCTAAAAGCTTGAGGACTTGTAACTGTAAAACTAGGTATTAGAGCCGGGCGTGGTAGTGCATACCTATAGTCCCAGCACTTGGGAGGCAGAGGCAGGCAGATCTGTTTGAGTTCAAGGCCAGCCTGTTCTACATAGACCCTGTCTCAAAAAGACCAAAAAAAACCCCCCAAAACCCAAAAAAACAAAAAACAAAAAACTAGGTATTAGATCAAATTCCTATCTGTGTGACTACAACTTGTATTATCCACACCACTCCAACATGCTTGCTGTACTCTACCCCTAGTCTTCAGTATTCCAGCCTCCATCATCTGGAGGCGGAGGTGTCTGAGGCTTTCTCAGCAGGGACCAGAATAATGAAAAATTGATTCCCGCTAAGGAAATCTTTTAGAACCAAGAGACCCCACACTACTTTCTCAGCCCTGCAAGGCCCTCTGCAGGTGAAAAGAATCACCTCTATTCAATAGCAAAGGAAGTTCTGCAGAGTTCAGCCTCATTCCAAACTCAAGAATTAGCCTGAACTCAGATAGTGGGATGGAGGCATATTTAATTGCTGCTCTTAACTATGTCTCTACCCCAGAAGCAGCAGAAGCCCCTTGGGTGGTGCCAGAGTGATTCAGGAAGAGTCTGCCAAGAAAGCTGTCTTAGGTGAGAGCCTTGAATTGACTAGTCATCCTAGCTCTCCTTTCCTCCTTTAGAAACTGGCATCCCTGATCATTTTCTTGACTCTGAAAACCAAAGAGATGGAGTCATTAGCCCAGTGGGGGGGGGACATAAGCTGTAGCATATGTGACACAAGCTATTCCACTATCCCCTTTCCCTGTTAAACACATATTTGCATCATTTACTCTGATCAAGAGGGATATTCAAGTCTTGGGAAATGCTTCTTAGAAGCCAGTGCATTTGAAGGTTTGTGGGCGAATATTTTAAGGATCACTGGGATACTGGAGGAAAGTGGCTGGAATTCCATTCCCCCACTCCACATTTTTGGTGCCATCAGCTAAAAATTCTCAACTTTCTAGTCACATGAAAGTACTTAATGTTGTTCAACCTTAGAACAGTTAACACAGTATCTGCTCTGCTCTGCACACAACTCCATCATCAAGGGACAAGCCCTTCTCCTCCCTAATTCTAACTGCAAGATACTTCAGAGAACCAGATGATAGGGTTTCCTAAGCCTTGCCACTGAAAGTCACATCTAGGAGAATGAAGCCTAGAGTAGGTTTCATGGTGGGGTTCTAAGCAAAGACAGGGAAGCCGTAGCAAGCATATGATGGGGTGGGGTGGGGGGAGCAGAGGCTGAGGGAGTGGGATGGGGGTCAGTGAGGGAAGCCAGCGTACTTTAGAGGCTAAATAGCAAGGTATCATCAGAGCTTGAGAAGCATGGACCACGGGAAGAAAAGAATATTCTAAATGACGCTTGGAGATCCCTGTAGCTGTTTAGTTTGTGGTTGGTGGACAGTTAGTTGTCTTATCTGCCTGAATACAGTGGGCATAGAAAACTCACTGGGGTCTAGAATTAGCAGAATTTTATATACACAAGTCAGCTTTGCCGTTAGCTGTTGATCCACTAAGCTTGGATCTCCAGGTCTGATAGGCCACCAATAAGGAATGGGGACTGCATATCTCATCAATTCTAGGTTATGCCTAAGGTTGGCAAGAAAAGGAGGTGGATATAAATATTTTGTTTTCTCTTGGTGCTGGGGCTAGAACCCAGAGCCTCACCCACACTAGACAAGTGCTCTAACACTGAGCTCAGCCTTAAAACATTATTTTTGAGACAGGGCTTACTAAGTTATCTAGGCTAGCCTTAAAGTCATTCTATGGCCCAGGTAGGCCTTGAGTTTATAATCTTTGTGCCTTAGCTTCCCAAGTATTTGGGAATACAAGCCTGTGCTACCAGGTCTGGCTGATTTTTTAAAAAGAGATTATAATCACCAAGTCCTGATTTAGTCAGTCCTTGGGGGTCTTTTCTTCTTTCTAGAGGTCTACATGAACATCATGAAGCTGGACTAATATTTGTACCTGTTCTGGGGTTTCCTGTAGGGTTCTGGCCAAATAGGACAAATCTTAGGGTCTCACAGGGTATACCCTTCTCATCAGCACTCAGTTTCTGAGATCTCTGCAAACATCCCTAGATAGTGCTGAGCAACATCACTTACCTCATCTTCCAGGAGCCTGTGGCTCAGGACCCATGAAGAAAGGTCTTGGGGCTCAAATGGAAATGTCTAGAGTGAAGCCATCACAATGTGGTAGAATGAAATGCACATTTAATTGAAGAAAAAAAGTCTAGGGGATTCCATTCTATATTGAGGGGCAATCCAGTTCAGAGTGTCTCTCCCTCTCCTCCTCCCTGCCAACATATTCTTAATCAGTCCCCAGAGTCATGAGTAAGCTCCATCACTAGGTCTGACTGGGATTAAGGGATTTCTGGTCTTCCATCTGGTTTCAATGACATCACACTCATCTATACCTTGGGTCTCTTCCTTGAGTGTGATGGCTCTGGCAGAGCATCTTGTGACTTCATTTGGAAAGGAGGAAGATTTTCTCTGGTTTTCCTGACCAAGGGACTGAGTGTTAGCTGAGTCTGGTATGAGGAGGAGACAGAAGAAAGGGGAAATAATGGTAGCCATCTGGGTTTGATTCAAAGGGGGAGCTTTCCAGAGACAAAGCCACGCCCCACAGGAGGGGCACCTCAGAGAAAGAGCTGAGTGGGCGGTGGATGGAGAAAAGGTGGTGGTCAGGAAGGGATTATTATGGCAAGGGTTAAGAGGAAGATGAAGGTGAGCAGCAACATTGCAGAAAGCACGAGGCAAAGGATGACATGCGTCCTGGGTGTGTGAGCACTGCTTTGAAAACTCATCTGGTCTCGTCTTGGTCGTTGTTGCTCCTACAAAGTGAGAGGAAAGGGACATGGTGTCAGCAATCCACATCCCATCACTCACGATTGCCTGTGAGCTTTCAGCTCTAGGCTCTCCCCTCCCCTTCTTCCCTGGCATCCTTTTTAGGCTTTCCTAGGAATAGCAAGAACCCTAGGGGTAAATATTCAAGGCTACAGTTGGGCAAACGGGTGGCCAGCCTTACCAGCAGGTGGCCAAGTAAGAAGAGTTCACTCCCACCTGGCAAATCTGGAACCACTATTTGTCAAGAAGTTGAATCTCTGGCAAAGTGGAGTTTGTGGAATTAACAGGTCAAATGGGAAGCAGCTGGTTCTCCCACTAGTAGCTGAGGGCCAGGAGGTTATATCGTAGACAAATATTTTAATAATCACTCTGTTTAGGCCAAGGATACCCAACCAGTCTCTGAGAAGACACTACAGAAAACCTGCTCTTGTTAGCTCTGTGTTCTCAGCAGGTATCACTCTGATTCTATTATGACATCACTGCTGTAGGGAAAGCAGCTGCTAATGGGAGGTTCTGAGTTGGAAGAAGGGGAGCTGGGCCCGCTTGTTATATAATGCAGATTTTTGAGACCCACTGACAGTGAAACTGAAGACCAGCATCTCACCCAAAGCAGAAACCGGAACCCTGTTACTTACCCATATCTCAAATCTCCAGGAAGAACCAGTGTGGAAATGCTCTGAGGTTCTCCTGGGTTCAAAATGTTTACATCTTCACACTCACATGGTACAGGAGAGTTGAAATAATATTTTGGATTCTCCCAGGGTCCTAGATAACTCTAAAATCTGGACTGGCAAGAGATCAACCTCAAAAAGACAAATGGCTAATATAATATCTAGTTCAAATGGTTTAATGCCAAGGGAGACAAATTATGAACCAATCCCAAAACAGAGAAAGGGGAAACTTGGGAAAGAATTGATATAAAACAAGAAGATGGTTTTACAGTCTTTATTTTCTGTAATTAAAAGCCAAACTCATGGGCTGGAGAGATGGCTCAGTGGCTAAGAATGCTTACTGCTCTATCAGAGGACTAGAATTCAGATCCTAGCACCCACATCATGCAGCTCACAAATGCCTGTGACTCCAGCTCCAATGAATCTGAAACTTATTGTGCTCACACGCGTGTGCGCACACACACACACACACTCAATTAACATAAGCAAAATCTTTTAGTGAAGAGCCCACCTTAGACCTCCGTTCCATCCAACACCAACCACAAAGTCAGGATTTAAGCTGACAGTGGCAGCTCTGATCTTGATGTTACTGTTTGTTTCTAAGCAAAACCCAGAAAAAGTCCTCAATATTTTAAGTTCTCAACTCATAAAATGTATACGTACTGCTATCTGTCAGATCTCCCTATATAGGATTTTGCCTTGAAAAAAATACCTGTGAACATGGTTGGAAGAAGCTTCCTCCCCAATCCTGGAAATTCTTCTTGGTCACCCTGCTGACTGCTCTGAGTTCCTCAGCTTGGATAGCATAGTGAGAGTTAGTGTGAAGATTGGATGAACACAATAATCTAATGAATTGCCTCATGAGCTGATGTGTTTTTCAAAAGCAGGGCAGAAATGCTCTGGGACCCAGAAAGTTTCTGGAGCAATCTCAAAGCCAGTTCATCCTAGTTTTATTAGGTGCTGAGAGAAAGTTCACATCCCACTTCATGTTCTTCCTTGGTCCTCGTTCTTGAGTTCTGGTTCCTAAGAATCCTAAGGGTCACTAAGATGGAGAAGCCAGGAGCCCATTTTTTAAAATATTTTATTTATTATTTTTATTTTACGTGTATGAGTGTCTGCCTGCATGTAGGTAAGTGCACCCATACTGTGCAATGCCATCGAGGACAGAAGAGTTACAATTATTAGTTGCCATGTGGGTGCTGGGATTCGAACCCAGGTCTTCTGCAAGAACAATCAGTGTTCTTAACCTTTGAGCCATCTCTCCAGCCCCAGGAGCCTATTATTTTTTTCAGGTCTCAGCCATGGAGGCCTATGGTAAGCATTAAGTGACACTATGCAAGTAAAACACTTGGCACTTATGTTACCACCCAGTAAACATTCGATTAAATTATGAAGGAAGTAGAAGAAACCCGACCAAAAGGCTTCAAAATAATACCGGCAGGGCAGGGCAGTGTGACTGCTATGGAGTTCCTGTGACAGCCAGCAGAGGGAGCGCCCCAGTAACAAGGAGCACTTGTCTACATGTCCTTCATTTCTTCATCTCTGCTCAGAGGCTTTTTCTCCATCAGAAATCTTTTACTTAGAGAAAACAAGAGCCCTCAGGATCCTGATCTAGGCCTGCTTTCAGACAGCCCACAGGTTCTTGAACTTTAAAGACATGCTCAGTCTTGTGTTCACTGGAGCAAATAAGATAGCTCCTCTAGATCTGGGGCTGAAAATTTTAAGCTAACACACTTCGTCCTTGAAATGTTGAAGATACCTTCATTTCCCCCTCATTCTCCTCCCACAAACACCTAGATTACAAGCTACAAAAAAGCCTGACGATCCCTCTGTTCCCCCAAAGATTACCAGCAGCAAAGTGAAGGAAATAGTCATTCTAGCTCTTCAGGGACTGTGTTAGATGGTATGTTATACATCATCCCATTCAATCCTTAGGACAACTTAGACTCTTAGGTTTTTAGTACAGTGTACTTTTTCAGTCGAAAAACTTTAAAGGAAAGACATGGGATCCCTTTCAGACAAAGCTCCTAAAATGGCTGCCCAGAGCAGAAGGTCCTCTGCTGAGGCTCCTAAGCTAAGCTAGTTACACTGTTTTCCTTTCTGAGATTCCTGAAGTCAATCAGTTGGTTGGCCTGCCCAGGTGCATCTTTTTTTTTTTTTTAAAACCACACTTATTTTCTAGCTCACAGTTAATCAATGCACTAGTAAAAACCCAAGAGATGAAGACGAGATCCTTCTGGTCTATCTTGCAATTAACTTTTGCTCACTGCCCAATTTTGATTAGCAGTGGCCTTGTTTCTTTTAGGGTGCCCAAGAGACTCTATGTCTAACCTATTTACAGGATGATACATAGCTCAGAAAGGCACTCAGGATAAGGCAAACACTTGCCATCCAGGAAGCTTAAAAATATTTCATGAGCTCCTTTTCTGCTGGCATATCTGAAGTAGCAATAACTATTGAGCACTTACTAACTTTAGGGACTGTGTTAGATGGTATGTATACATCATCCCATTCAATCCTTAGGACAACTTAGACTCTTAGGTTTTTAGTACAGTGCACTTTTTTCAGTCGAAAAACTGAGGTATAGAGAGGTTAAATAATTTCCCCCAAGTCAAGCAGCTATTAAGTGCAATACTGGAATTCTGAAACACAGAGAAATCCCTCTTTGAGTCCTGGTGGGTTCTTCAGAAAAGACAACAGTGGAGCACCCTTCAGGATCAGGAAAGGTTTCCAAGGATCAGAGGACACTGTGCAGGTGGGGATACATTTGCTTAAGGCCAAGCCAAGACGGACAGGAGTGTATCATGTTCCCTCTTGTTCCACTGTCTCACTTTGATAGGGCAAATGTAACCTATCTTGGGAGGAACAGGTCACTACAAGATGAAGTGTGCTGCCCTTCTCCCTCTTGAAAGTGATCTATGAGATACTTGGTCAAGGCACACAGCCAATAGGACTCCTTCCATTTTTAAAAAATGCATTAGGTTTTCGTAATTTGGGAATGTGCTAGAAAACTGACAACTGGGCCCCAATTCCAGAGTAGAATTCTCTGGGTCCTAATGCTTCCAAAGTAAAGCTCCTCTTTGGGAACTCTGTTAAGAATAATGTGGCGAAGGTAATCATCAGCAGCCATCATCCCTATTTATATCTTTACTGAGCTTTGCTTGCCTACTTCTGATTAAGGGTAAGTGTGGGCTCTCTTGATGTCAGGGATTGGACCACTCAGAGGAAGCAGAGGTTATACAGCTTATATCATGAGGCATGTCTCTTCAGTCACAGGTGATAAAAAGGCCTTGCCTTCAGTCCCCCCAATGAGCTTGACTGCTTCCACTTACCCTCCACTACCTGCAGTCAACAGAAGGAAGCTGTCCAGTAGGATGATATGGAGGAAAAGAAATGAAGGAACTACCTGGAAGAGCTTGAGAACCACTGACTACAGGAAGAAGATAATTCAGGATTCAGACTCAGCTCATCCTAGTCTGTCCTCTCATGCCCTCATCTATGGGGCTAGCTGTGAATGGTTTTTAAAAACAAGGCTTCATGCCGGACATGGTGGCATACACCTTTAATCCCAGCAGGGAGGAGAAACAGGCAGATGTCTGTGAGTTCAATGCCAGCCTGGTCTACATAGTTCCAGGCCAGCTGGGGCAACAGGGAGACCACGTTTCAAAAAGAACAAAACAAACAAACAAAAAACCAAGGCTTCATGTTTTTGTATGCCATCTTCATGCAGGACCCATACTGATCTTGTTTTTAGTACGAATGCTACTGAAGTTGGCACAAACATCAAATGTTTTGATTTGTGGGATAACTTGCTGCTCTAGGCCACCAGTGGCAGTGACTATATGGGTCCTCACTGGATTGAAAGAATGCTCAGGTGATACATCAAAGCACAACTTTGGTCTGGATTGTAACTCAGAAGAATCGTTCTGATAGGATCTGGAGCTCATGAATACTATAGGGCTCATTCTGATCAGGAATTTGTAGTCCAGTGCACTTCCAGGTTCTTGTACAAATGAACCAAACCCTCAGCAGGGATCAGCCTTCACCATTTTGCAATTTGTAAGTAGAGGTGGCTAACATTTTAAAAAATCTAAAAACTTAGGGTGGGTGAGCTTGTTCAGTGGTTCAGAGCACTTTTGCCCTTGTAGTGTACTGGAGTTCAGATACCAGTAGCCATATCTGGAGGCTCACAACCACCTGTAACGCCAACCCCTGGGGACCTGACACCCTCTTCTGGCCGCTGCAGACACATGCACATGGAAGCCATACACTTACACACATACATAAACATAAATAAAAACAAATCTTTAAAAAAA